TCACTTTCACCCTCAATTTTCTCATAAAGGTCTACAAAAACAGGCCACTAAACTAGGTTCTAAAATAACCACCACAGTGAAAAGAAAAGTGAGGTTTACAATCATCAGGTCAGGGAGTACCCAATAGCCATATCTCAAAAACCTTTAAAGATAGACACAAAAAAAATGTCACTATCTGGTATCAGAATAAAACATTCCGACTTATTAAATCTAACCTGGGCCGATTTAAAATTTTTACCTGCCAACACCTACTTCTAGTGATCTGAAAGGGTCCAGAAAAGGGGGTTATTAACACACACAGACAAACTGCTTTATACTCATGTGCTGAGCCTGTCACAGAGATTCAGAAAAACTCCAAGCACGCTATGCTGCACAGGATAACAGATTAAACTGAGCTTTCTTGGGTCTATCATCCATCCTTTGATGGCGGAGGTGGTAATGGGGTTCTCAGATCTACAAGAGCTAGTGAGAACGTAGCCCGTGGAAGATCTGGTCAAGGAGCAGATGTGCCTGACGGGTTTGACCCCATCAAGGGGCATGGGAGACAACAGAAGCGATATCCCACAACTTCCGGGGCGCAGAAACAGGTAAAGCGAGGTGTGTCAAACACGCTCTCTCTCGCGTATCCATGTAAAGAATTACAACAAGCGCTCTTTAAAAGCCACACATGATTCTCAATCCCAAGCCAACGAACACTGCTTCTTTTTCACAAAGCAAAAGTAAACAGTATTTCGTTCAGTACTTAACAATTTCATCTATTTATTTGGAAGTTGCTTTTGTCCAGAGTGACACACAAATGAGGCAGATGGTACATAAAGAGCACACAGCTGACAAGAGGCCACTGGCCAGGTTAAGCCTCAAGTAGCTGTAACTGGAACCTATACACTTTATTTTTGTGTAAGCAAACATTACAAAGAGTGATAGGCACAAAAATGAAAATCAATTCATATTTGAATCGTAGTCTGTCAGTACTTCGGGTAAGGAAGATAGACTACAAAAATACAAATATATCAAATTCAACTGCAGACCAAATATTGCATCATTATTATAACACAAAAAGCAGAATTGCTTTGCGGACAGCCTCGTTCGGGTTTTTATTTCCAGAAAAATGACTAATGTTCAAAAACCGCCCGGGTTATTGTCTGGGGTCGCGATCATAAACAGGGCAGCTGAGCTTCAGCAAACCAACATAAGCAGTAGGAAACGCGCGGCTGAGTGCTGCTTTCAACGCAATGATCATCTGCGATCGAGATGAGATCGGCCAAGATGGAAAGCCGGATTCCCACGGCATCAGTCCCTGTCACAACGTGATAATGGAGCAGCCAGTCTACAGGAAACGGATCAGTGATATCAAAAAGACTGCAAACCATTAAGAGCCGAGCAACTGGACTTTATCCAACCTGGCAATTATAGAAGCGTTGTCAGTGGTTAATGCAAAAGATTCAAGTCCCTACTGGTCCCGTTTGCACCAGCACGGACCAAACCAGAGAAAAACAGACTTGGCCAATATTTACAGATACAGAGGTGTAACGTCGGCACACGCATGATCACGCTCACTCATGCAGTCCAAGTCGAGTTATGTGACATAATTGAAATAAATAAATCCCACAACAATAACAACAACAGAACAAATTAAGGCAATGGGTGCATGTCTACAATAAATACTAAATATCTAGAGTATATTAATTTTAACAAGCAAATTACAGAACACAACAACGTGTTAAAGATCGATCTACCGTAATATTAGCGTGGGATATATTATTACGGGAAATTATCATTTTAAATATCTGTGCAATCGAAACGCCTTAACGGATCATAGAAATGAAACGCGATGATGACACCTTCAATGTGAAAGTGCGGCGTTTGAACACTTCGCCAAAGAAGGTGAGAGCAGGTGCTCTCACGTGTGAGCCCGGTAAGAACACCATGCGGCCCCCCCCGACACAAACACCCGATCGCGATGACAGCTCGCGTATCCTAAATACGACTTACCTGATTACTGGATGCGTACGTCTGTGCGAAATTAGGCACCGATTTCCTTCTGCGGAGCGATGAGACCGAGGGGAGAGAGAGCGAGTGAGGGGAGTGGGACCCATGCTACAATGCAGGTAATAGCTTTTCCTCCCTTGCCCCCACGGTTAGCCCCCTCCCATTAGTGCGATTTCATTTCTAAAAACAAGCGCGCCACCTTCTGGTAACAGCGCAGGTAAGCGCGAAGGCGATAATATATAGGAAGAAACCGTGAAACCGTGTAGGGGGGTGGCGGAGGTCATTATTATTTTTAGAAAAATGCCGCGCTGATTTGTTAGCTATTAGTTTACTGACACATTCCATCGCTGCCATGGGATATTTCCCTTCTTCAGTTTCCATCACCCTTGCCCTTTGAAGCTTCGTGCTATGTACTTGTTAATTTTTTATTAGTAATTCATTGGTAATGGTAAATGATAATTATTTGATTTACCTCATCTGTGTGTGTCTGTTTTTTATTGGGGGGGGGCGTCGGCAGCGGCTGTGAAACTCGATTAAGGCGGGACGTGGGCTTCGATCTGCGCTGCATCTAGCATAATAGTAGTTCACTATTTATTTCACTATAAATTAATTAATGGAGTTAAAAAAAAATACCGCGTGAGAACAGAATTTTGGTTGCTCATTAGGTATCACTGCTGCCTCTCACTTCCAGGGTTTGGGGTTTAATTCCTACGCTGCTGTGAGTGTGTATGAAGGTTGGAAGTTCTCTCCATGTGGGCAGGAACTGGCACCTCTAAATTGCCCTTTACGTGTGCATGAATGTTCTCTGGCATCCTGTCCAGAGAATAACACAGTCTTGTGGCTCCAGCCCAAGAGTTGAGTACTCTTGAACACTCAATAATATTCAAGTAATCAAGTACTCCAACCAGTTGAGTATTCTGTGAATGTGACCGTTTATACTCAGCTGGTTGGTTGAAACAAAATCTTGTTCTGGAGTTTTACTTTCTGGATCTTAATTATCCACCTCTGCTGATCAGAATAAGTGGTTGAGTGGCATCCAGAGCAAAAATGGCTTCGATAATGACTAAACAACAGAACGTCTGGGTCAAAAATCCTCACAGGAAATCCACTCCTAAAAAAAACAAAAAAAAAAAAAACACGTTAAGACACTAGAAAATTGTTACTTAAGTCAGACTATTAAACTGCCATAAACCAGAAAACTGTTGACTTGTTATTGTGTTGGGTTGTAAGGTGCAACTAACATTGAAGTGCATAATTATAGAAAACGGACTACAGCATATGGTTCATGCTGTATGGATTGAACTGTGGCAAATTGAATTCTCTGTTTTCTATTCAACAAATTGTAATAATTGAATTGCTTTGCAAGCAGCCTAAAGAAAACACTTTTATGGCCCCAAAACAGTTATACTTGTACTGTATATAGCAAACCACAGGAAAATAGTGTTTGCTAATAATTTGCGACTGAATTTCATGTTACTTATCCTGGGTGAATGGCTTCCTTGTTTCCTTATTTGATACATAGCAAGTTACCGGAACAAGTGCAAGAAAAACGCTCAAAACCTGTCCGACAAAGTACACATAGGCCATAGGCTGGTTAAAATGCTAGGATTTATTTACAGCAGCATCAATTGAGACGAAAAACACTTCATAGATATTTTACAGTTCGAACCGACATATTATAACAAGTCAAGGAAAATATTCACAGAGGAAGAACTCATTGGAAATGGTCCAGGAAATGGACATGACAGCCATATGTATCCCAAAGAGACGACAAACACAGCAGAGGGTTGAAGAAAAAACAATCTATAAATACAAAGATACACACACCCCATGCCACACCATAGCTGCCCTTACGCACAAAAAGCAAATTGTTGTATTAAATATATACACCAGTGTAGAAGAGGGTGGGGAGCTGACCTCAGAGCAACAGGGACGTGGGTTTGGATCCGACCCTGGTTCTGTGTGTGGAGCTTGCGTTTGTGTCGGTGTCTTCTGAGCATGTTACATTTTAATATTTTAAATATAATCATACTACTATGTAACTGCTATTTCAGCTTGACAGCTGAAACAGCATTAAAACTGTATTTTGCTAAACAAGTATCTACTTTCAGGACAAATTATGCTTAGGCAGAAAAATCTTAACACAAAATGAAACAAATGGGGAGTCACATTATTATATCAGTTGTCTTTATAAACAGTGTCAAAAACATTTTTTTGAGAATATGTATAAGAAAATCTCAGTGGCTTGAACTTGTGTACTTTTTAAAGAGGCATGACTACAGGCAGGTGAGGAGGTAAGAATGACAGCAATGCAGACAGAAATATCAAGGCATATGTATGAGTACAATCTATCCCACAGTAAAATGTCAAGAAGCGTTTTAGACCAGTGTTTCTTAACCTGGTCCTCAGGGATCCCTAGACAGTCCAAGTTTTTGCTCCTTCCCCACTTCCAACAGGGAGCAAAAACATGGACCGCCTGGAAGTTCCCAAGGATGAGAAACACTGCTCTAGACAGAATGCCCAGTTTCTATGTAACATTATGCTCTGAAACAATGTAATCAATTATGGTATATTTTAGCAACATTCTGTCCACAGTTAATTGGTTATCGTATCATAATGAGCAGCATGATGTGGCAATTAAAAAAAAAAAAAAACACCAAAGCACATAAAAACTTTGCAAAACAACGAACTGACTGTTAAAAAGCTAGAAAAAAAAAACCACACCATTTCTCACCATGAAATACACTCCCAAAATACAAAGCACTGATATCCTACTTTCTTAAAATATATGACAATTTTTCAAATAATTTACTAATGTACAGAATTCACTACTTATGTACAGAAAAATGTCTCTATTATATTGTTTAACTGTCTACATCTGTAGTATTCACAAGTATTGTAAATGTATATTTTGGCACAACACAAGTGCTACTGCATTTGTTACATTTCTTAATGTAATGCAACCTGCTGCATAGTGAAGATTTTGTTTCATTCATCCATATTCAGCAAATGCTTTGTGTCTTGTACAAATCGTGTTTGTTTATAACAATCAGCAGAGTGACGTGCAACCTACAAAGGGAGATCAGGCAGAAACATTTGCGTCAGAGGTCTCGTGCGAACAAAGAAATAGAACTTGTTAGTTCAAATACAAAAACAGCAGTAGTGGTGGGAGAGCAAAAAGTGAAAGCTTAATAAAAAATTCAAGTTGACTGAGACACAATAGCCAGCACTGTGTTCCCATAACATAACATGACACTGGTTAGCTAACTAGTTAAGATCTTTGGCCAGTGCTCTCGTTTTCCAGCTTTTGTCCGGTGAGGCTAGCATCTGTCACGACGCACACATTCAATCGAATAACAAATGATTATACCCAGCGCTGAACATTAAGCTCACCCTCTCACCAGAGGAGAGTATTTTAGATGAAGGGTGAGTACAAAATACTGAATACTAGCTTGCTGGCTAATAAAAAAATGTTTTTTTTTTTTACTGATCTACCTCAGATGGCTAGTAGCAAAATTTCCACCCCTGAATTTGCTTCTTGCACAGCTCTATCCTTTCCTTACAAAATCTAGCCCTAATAAAAATTAAAGTGGTAACACCAATTTGACAAGACACAAATAATGCAGTATTACACCATTATGTATTATGTATCAATTAACCACAAACAAAATCTTAATTACAAACTGATCTCATGTTAATTCATCATTAATGAATCGTGACGCATGATTTAGCTCAAGCATTTACTATATTTGTTACTATATCTGTTAATTCTGTAAAACTTAACTACTGAAGGATCAAGTCATAATACTAGTGAAATACTGATCTCATATTTGTTCATCATTAATGCATTATGATGCAACTTTTATCCTAAGCAGTTACTCTATGTGTTACTACAGTATATCTGTTAATTCTGTAAACCTTTGTGAACTACTGAAGGAACAAGTAATATATAACCCAAGTGAAATACTGATCTCATGTTTGTTCATCATTAATTAATTGTGACGCATCTTTTATCTCAAGTAGCAACTATATTTTTACTTCACTAGTAACTGAGTTATTACTAAATATTTGTGCCGGGTCATATAAAGTGTTACCTTAAAGTAATGGATCACTTTTGTTGGGAAAGTCTCATTTACCACTTTCAATGGTGTTAAGGTTTAGCATTTTACTTTAGAAGTGTATGCAGATATGATTATTTCCCTGATTCGGTTTAACTCAATATGACAACCTGAAAGTGCATTGAACATCAAGAGCTGAAGTTACTCAGTGCAGAGTCCCTGAATCATGACTTACACTGAAAGAGAGGGTGTTTCTCACCGTAAATTATGACAAGGACACCCTGCAAAACACATGTGTTATATGAGGTTTTGGAATTGGACTGTACCCCAAAAGCAAGCTACGGCAATATGTTTGGATCTCGGAGACTTGGAGGATTCCTGCATCATGTGACCCCATTCTAGATTAAGAGGCATAGCTCTTTGACATAAGTGCTGAAAGCTGCAGCACTGAATGCTGGGAAATCGTGCCTAAACTCGAAACAATCAAAAAGCAGAAACCAATAAACGGCCACAAAACGAAAACAGCAATTTTAGAGATGTTTAGATGTATTGGGACATGGTTTTCACAGTTCTGTTTGGTTTTGTTGTTACTGCAAGATGCCTGTCTTCTGTACAACAAAGAACAGAGAAGCATTTCGTCTTCAATTTTTGGTTTCTCATCAACCGGAAGAAAGATTTGTTGGGCCAGTCTGAACTTTAGCCTTTGATTTGCTTGATATTGCTTTTCAACTTTAAAGTATTTCTTTCAAGTATCATTGCTGACTTAAAAACAGGTCATACATAAAAACAGGGGGTCCACTAGTGCCCCCCATCCAGATCCTTAGAGGTCCCCGTCTTCCTCACCCCTGGCGTCAAGCCCATTAGAGAGAAAGGCCTCCTTTTCATGAAACATAGTGTCCTCACTGGTGCAGGTGGGCTTATACCCCTCAAGGTCGGCCTCGGTGCTGGAGCGGGCGAGCGTGCCCTCTGTGCTGTGCCAGATCCCATAACCAAAGTAGATAACAAAGCCTGAGAACACAGGAACAATAAAGACTGCTGAAATAACCAGCTTGGAAAAGCTTCCCATTCCACACGGAATTACAGAGACAGACACCAGGAAATTACAACAATGTCCATGTTAATAGTGGATGTGGCCTCAAACTCTGTATGATGGCTTATTTGGGTTAAGTTATCATCAATGCAAATCAGCTGAAACAGAGAAAGCCTTTCGGGAGCAGGGAGCGGAACATTACGAGATGCAGGGATGATGAAATGAGGTATAGTTGGTGAGGCGTGTACCTATGGCCATCCAAATGGCGAAGCGAACCCAGGTGCCCCGGCCAAGTTGCATCATCAGGTACACGTTGACAAACATGCTGATAACTGGGATAAAGGGCAGCAGAGGTACCTGTTTGGGGGGGGGGGAGGGGTCAGAAAGAGTCCCATTGCAGAAGCAGACCATCTACCTCCAAAAAAGCAATGCTACATTTTACCCTGGTAAGCGACTTTAACTTCAGGAAGTCTTGCCTCTTACCATATAAAAGGACACTTGGGGTGAGGTCACAGTACTATGGTTTTTAGGGACACCAATGACCGAGCTGTCAAAGGCGGGGGAGGAGTTTGCGGGGAGCTGGGGGATAGAGGAGGAGAGCCGAGGCCATCCAATCCCACAGTGATAAAACGACCGGCTTCTGTTTCATATTTGCCAACAAAGAGCCTGTGAAGGTCAGGAGTTATCAGTGGGTGACCTTGTGGAGAGCAGGTGGCAGGGACACCTCGACACCCCTCTGCTTTAGCTATTTGAAACAAGAAGCCAGGTTCTCCACTTTGCATGCAAACGCCTTTGGATCCTACATACAAATGATATGTCTGCTGTAACAGTTGGCCGTAGGTGTATTAAACCAAGAGCTGATAAGTGCAAATCCCAGGGCAAAAAAATTATGGCAACTCTCAGGTGTGTGACTGGAATCGCTTCCGCAATATGTTCAGTCGGTAAAGTGTGAAATTATCACAGAACCTCTGTAGGTATCAGTGCGATAAATAAAAAGGCCATGTTCAGCATCAACAAGGGGAGAAAGTCCTGGAGCAGTTGTTAGGGAGGAAGAGATCCAAGGCTCTCAAGTAAAAAAAAAACAAAAAAAACTGGACAAAACTTTGGGCCCCACTTGAGTGTCCATATCTCTATTCCAGACACCTGTGTGATAATGCAACTCCAATACTGACAGGGAAGTATAGAGGGGCGGGGCCACACGGGCACTGGCCTCAGCTGGAAGCTGATTGGCCCTCAGCATGTCCCCTCCCCTATCACTCACCAATTCAAAACATACCATTGGCTAATAAGGTTGGCCTCTCTATATGAATTATGAACCCTCTTATGCACCCCCCCCCGCCTTAAAGAATCCTTGAAATGCCCTTGAAAGCTGACCTTAAATGACAACTTTGTCTTGCTCTCCGGTTGCCTCCATATCAGCAGGGTGAGGCCCAGACATGCCACAGCTAGCACTCCCAGGGCAGCCACCTTCCAGAGTGCGAGGCCCTCCTGGACGGCCAATACGCTGAACACCAGGATGAGGGACCCTGGGGCAGAGGGAACACCAGCAGGCGTGGAGCTTACATGTCAAGTGATTAATCACATTAACAAAAGAAGCAGCTTAGGTGGCATCACGGACACGTTCACGCATGTAGTTTGCGAGTGAGAGGAGGAACATTGGCGCCAAGCAGGAGCACGTCGGTTTGCCGCACCTAGCACGCTGGTGCTGACGTTGACCGCAGATCCGGACAGGTTGGAAGGCTCCGGTTTCTCTGGATAGAGGAGGTTCTTCATGCTGAAGCGTTCCTCCACGCCAGGCAGGATGCCCATGCTGTGGGCGCCGATGGACTCGCTGAGCTCCACCTCATCCTGTGTGATAGCCAGCTGGTTGAGCTGCTCCGGCTGGTACCTGGACAGCAGAGCATGTCACTGCAGTTTATGGGCCAAGGGCATCAAGGGCATGGCTGTACGAGCTAAACTTAACTAATACACCAACTAGAGAACTAATCTGGATGATGCGAGTTGTCACTAGGTCAGTGTTTCTCAACCCAGTCCGAGCACTCGCACACAGTCCACATTTTTGCTCTCTCACAGCTCCCAATATGGGAGCTCGGGGTTCTTGACTGGCTGGGAGCTGGGAGGGAGCAAAAATGTGGAATGTCTGGGGCTCCCTGAGGGCTGGGCTGAGAAACACCGCACTAGCTAAAAGGCTGCATTCAAAGCATGGTAATATTCCAGTTTTTCAACATGAAAAAAACGGTTTAATGTGCTGATTTTTTAAGGGTAGGAAGTTCTAGCCCAGGGATGGGCAATCTTATCCGCAAAGGACCGGTGTGTATGCAGGTTTTTGGGATAAACTGTAAGTCAGCTGTTCAAACCCAGGTGTGAGGACTCTTCAGCCAATCAGTCCTCTAATAGGGAGTTGCAGCGCATACACACCAGCCCTTTGCCGATAAGATTGCCCACCCCTGTTGTAGCCTCAAAATCCAGCCTATGTGCTCAGAATAAAATGAAAAATCCTTTTTAATCCCCCTACTTGTTGGTGGATATGAATATCATGTCTTAAATCTTACCTGAGGACAAGGACACAGGCTGCAACCAGGGTGTAAGCCAGCAGCGTGCCAATGGACATGAGGTCTACCAGGTCCTTGAGATCAAACAGGAAGGCCATCACCGCTGTAAGAGGCAGGATGGTGGCCTGTTAATACGCGGGAGGGAGCCACCCTAACTCCCTCCAAAGAGCTACACAATCACACACGAATTCACATAAAAAAATCATAGATGTATCTTTGAAAAGCTTACAATCACAATTACTTAAATTATTATTATTACTCCCTTTGCTATGCATCAGAACAAGAACTTCCACCTACTCTAACATTTCAACTGGTAAACATTAGATACAAAGAACAAATCACAGGCATCATGGGTCTCATCTGACTAGACGTTTCGTCTACAAACTATGGTATCAAACCCGGGCCTCTTGTTCCCACCTGAAAGTTAGCTATGAACACACAAGCAACACACCCCAGGCAGACAATTGCAAAGTTACACCGATGCTGGTTACTTAATGCCGCTGGCTAAATTGTGGCTGGTAGGTTATGTAAAGACCAGTTTATACACTGCGTATCCACTGCATATCCACTACGTATCGGCAGTTTATTAAGCACAGGTAGAAAATGATCTATTATGCTCCTGAACAACTTTACTCAGACAGATCTCAGTTCTCTGTGGCAGTGTTTCTCAACCCTGTACTCAGGGACCATCAGACAGTTCACATTTTTGCTGCCTCCCAGCTCCCAACAGACCAGTTCCAGATATTTGGTGTTCTTGGTTATTTCATTGTTTGGTTTATGTGTGCTGGGAGCAAAAATGTGCACTGGCTGGGGGTCCCCAAGGACTGGGTTGAGAAACTGCCATGTGGGAAATATTTCCTCCAAAGAAGGTATCAGAAAAACCTGACTCTCATCAAGGTCCATTAAAGGCAGAGGCCTTCCTGGTGATGAGGACAAGTAGAGTCCCCCTGGTGAACTCCTCAGGGGGAGCGCAATTTCCAGTCAGCTGAAAACTCTAGGCTTTACTGTCCCAGGGCGAACTGCCTTCAACGTTCAGACATCACTCAACACAGGCATCACACCGAGAGGCTATGACTCCACCTGAGTCTGCTTCCTACACTCTGCACCAAAAGAGGTGGACCTGGATGGATATTAAATTAGCCAGGTCAGACCAACAAAAAACAACGACAACAACAACAAAGCCTTGCTAAGTCTTGCTAAGCCAGTTTCCCCCAAGCGGCAGCAGAGGTAAACGCCCCATTGCTGCTGGTCGCCACTGGGCTTACCGGACATGACCCCTGCTGCCATGGTGGAGATGATGGGGGTCTTCCGCTCGCTCACCCGTGCCAGAAAAGAGAAGAGCAGACCATCGCGGGCCATGGCAAAGATAATGCGTGGGAGGGGGAACATGGAGCCTAGGAGACTAGGCGGTAAGGGTTGGGGAGGGGTGGGAGGAAGGAGGGTGAGGAGTACAGATTTATGATTTAAGAAAAGAGAAAACGACGTGGACCAGTGTTGCTTGGTCTAAGACATGATTATACCCTCAGCTTCAAGTGCACCATCCGTAAAAGACCGCGGAGACAGACAGAGTCAAATACGGGAGGCGGACAACAGCAGCAGAGCCTTCCGGGAACTGACCCCTGACCCGACAGCGTCTCCGATGCCTGACGCGTCACCCCAGCGTCCCCTGGCGCCAGGTGCACTCTGAGCAGGTTCGCGTCGAGACCACATGCCATAAACTGTCCCGACAGGTAAAGCCAGCCAGTTAGTGGTATTAAAACAAAAACAGAATGCCCAGCCTCACCTGCCACAATGCCCGATGTTAATGTAGCGATTAAAGGAGTTTTGGTTCTCGGGTTGATTTCAGCCATAAATTTGAAGAGTAGGCCATCCTCTGCCATGGCCCAGACGACCCGGGGCATAGGGAACATGGAACCGAGCAGGCTAGCGGGCGGGTGGGGTAAGTGGGGGGGAGGGGAGAAAAGAGAATAGGCCATGCCACGCAAATTAATTAAGGAAGAGTGACAACACACCAACCCCTACTCTACAAACCCCACGTGTTGAGCAAGAAAGGACCCCCATACACACACCCCCAGAGGACACCCGCCACTCTTCAAGCAGCAGCCCAGGCAAAAGCCACAGCTGGATGAAAGGTCAACACAGAAGGTACCCAAACCCAGCTTCACCTATTGCACCAGTTAGATGGATAACAGGTCTTGTGAGTAGACAAAAATTCACACCCAAATGTAGCACAATGGTTAAGATTGAACTGAATGACCAGAAGGTTGCCAGTTCAGATCCCAGGAGAGTCCCCTGCCATTGTGCCCTAAAGTGTCTTTAGTACTTAACCTGCTTGGCTTTAGGCACGAATAAAATTACTTTAGATTCAGCTGTTTATGTTTCATTGAAAAAAAGCATCTACTAAGCAAAGGAAGTAGGAAAAGGAAGGCAGCTGATCTTCAAAGGACTGAAGCCTGTGTCAGCTGAGGAGGCCTTAGGAATCACTAAATCTTAGGCACAGATTTAGCGAGAGATAATAATGATTTGTCTTGAGCTGAAGGGTAAGATGAACAGCACTGGTTTACATTTACTTTTAGTGTAATTAATCTTCACCACTTGACTTTTAGGCCTACAAAATATCAGGAGAAATAACAAAAGACATGAATTTTAAACGGAAACATTTGTTCTTTAATTGGTAATCATTTTGCCCCCTCCCTCACGCTACCATAGAAATAAATATTACATTAGGTCAAGCCTCGATTAGTGGCTCACTGCACCCGGCCAACTTTCTGCTATTATTTTTAGCAAGGGGGCTCAAAAGGTCCATCGCAAATAAACACAGGGCACATGCACTGGTATTCACGCACATACGTGCACATGGCCAAGTGTACGAGCTGTCATGGCAACGTGTGCATGGCACCAGTCCGGGGGGGCGGGGCCTACCTGGTGGACAGGGCACAGAGGGAGCCCACCGCCACTGCGTAGGTGGCCCCCTCCCAGCCCACGTACTTGAAAGCCACAGGCAGTGGGCTGTTTTTGTCCAGCATGTAGTACGGCATCATCACAGTAAGGGCGGCAGACACGCCGAAGTAGGCCACGAAGCAGATGAGGAGGGAGGACACGATGCCAATGGGGATGGCCCTCTGGGGGTTCTTCACCTCCTCACCTAGAGGGAGGTACAAGGGGCAGTCAGAGATGTGGCAGATTCCAAGGGCATAGGTTTGGTTTCAACATTGGTAGGAACCAAATCGGATCCAAACCCCCTACCCCTCCAAACATGCACGGTACTCCCACAATATTGGTTGGGACGTGTCCCTACTGTCCATACTAGGGTTGCAAAATTCTGGGAATTTTCCTGTTAATCCCCCTGGAAAGTTTCCAACTTGGAATATTTGTGGAATTCCACAGCTTAACTTCCCATGGAATGGAAAGTTTCTGGAAATTTTCCACCCATTTGCAACTCTAGATCATAACCCAAATCTATGCCCTTGATGAATTTGACAATAGGTTAACTCAGATAAAACTTGCATTTTTTTTGCCATGTATTACTTTTCATGACATCACATCCAGTTGAAACCAGTTGTGCTGGAAGTAGGCATGCTGGTAGACAGCACCCCTCTGTTGTCTATTTTGTCAAAAATAAAACTTTATTATTATGTTAATTATCTTGCAACTACCGGTGTTAGCTGCTGGTACCAATCGATGATACAAAAGAATGTCAGGCAAGTCTATAGGCCACTCTGACTTCCGGCATCCTGAGCTCAAATCATCGTCCCACAAAAATGTTTCAAACACTTCTAGAAACTATGGTATATAAGTTTACCATTCAGCCACAAGACACCTGCCGTCGAACCTTTAAAAAAATGCAAAACATCTCATGCAAATATTTTTCTTTAAATGTTACCGTGGAAGGGACATGAAACCCCCAGACACATTTGGAAAGATTTATCTATTAAGGGAATGTGGTTTTGGCATAATGGCCGCTGGGAGGATGACAGCAAACAGAGGCCTTAGGTGGCCTGTATCTGCAGGACAGGACTTTGTTTCATGGCTGTCTGGCTTCCGGCTCCTGGAATTAGGGGTGCCGAGGCCACCTGCTGAAGCCACATGACGGCTATTTCTGTTAAACCAATAATGCTTTTTATATGAGCAAACCAGCGTCCAGCCAGTGGTCAGATCAGGGAGCTGTTAAGCGCGTTAGTCACGGCAGGCCGTGTCGGCCCTGTTGCGTAGTTAATTTCAAACATCACTTTGACGCACATGAAGTCATATTCAATTAAATGGTGTCCGGTGCCATTTTGTCAAAAGTTCACTTAAAAGAACAAGTCAGTTTTTCTGCAGTGACACCTTCTGCAGTGACGCCTTCTCTTTAAGTCAGCAGCTCCAACCTTTCCGCCAAACTAAGCGCTGGCAGAAATGTGACGTTCCGTTTCCAAGAATGCACCTCTTTCTGACCAAAAATAGCAAGACCATTAATCAAAGGGCTATCAGGAAAAATGGCACCTTTCAGACATCGGCAAAGAAAGCCCCCTGAGAGATCCAAAGAACTCCTGGTCATTCTTCTTGCATATTTAAAATTCTTTTTGTCAGAATAACATTTGCCGCACAGTTTTTTAACAGCCCAAAGAGGAAGAGGGACCATAATAGCAGCCTCTGGGCATCCAGTATTGTGAACTGAGATCCTGGCAAAGGAACTGGGGAGGGAGCGTTTGCCGAGGGTTGGATACCCATTTGATTTACAGTCCTCTTTGGCTGCAGGTGGAGGGGGTTAATTATATATAGAACCCTGTCAGGGGGGGTGTGAGCGTCGTTAAAATGCCAGAGCAGGGCAGTAACAGTAACAACGCAAAAAAAATAAATAATAATAATTAAATCTACAAAAACAATGACCCAATTACAAAAACATACCAAATTTCAAGCAGAGTTCTTGATCTGGAATGATCAAGACAGGGAAAACAGCCGACCACAGGTACCATTTAAATAAACTCATAAAACGGAAAACACAACAGCTTTTGGGGGGCTGTTTTGTTATTTACCACCAAAGCGTGGGCCACCTGGGGCTCAACAAGGACGGAGGGCAGGGGCATGTACAGGGGCGGGGCCACAGGGGCATTTGGCCTCAGTTGAAATCTGATTGGCCACCAGAGTGCCCCTCCCCCGTCACTCACCGATTCATTGGTTAATGAAAGGGTGGCCCCTCTGTATGAATTATGTTCCCTCTTATGCCTCCCAGCTTAAAAAAAAAAGCCCTGGAATCATCCCCCTCACATGGTAAGCAAAAGCGTACACAGCTCTATTTTCACACTGGGGTGTGAGCTCACCTTCCCCACCTTCCCCACCTCACCTGTGGTGGCGATGCAGTCGAAGCCCACGAAAGCGTAGAAGCAGGTGGCCGCGCCGGACAAGACGCCCGTGAAGCCGAAGGGCATGAAGCCGCCGACGCCGAGGCTCTCTCTGGACAGCAGCGGCCCCGATGAGCTAGGCGGACAGGTGGGGGGAGCGCTCAGATGTCAGGTCATCCAGCAGCAACATGCACTAGCTGAACCATCAAAGCCTTACTTTAGCTGCACTGCTTCACTGAGAATGTGAGCAAGTATGTTATTCTAAGTATGTTATGTAAATCAAGTAAATGCACAACGTGGTGGTATAGTGAGTAACAAATAAGTTACTGAATAATGTTAATCACCTACATCAACCTAAGATCCAACAGTAATTTTTCCTCCTCTTTTTGCGCATATCTCACATGCCATACATAGTCCCGTAAATCGGACAGTTAGTGGTTTAACATGACACCATATGTACGGAGGTGTGACCTTGACAATGTCCTCTTCCTAATCAAATCAAAATTTTGATCAATATTAAAAACAAGCTTTTCCCTGGATCTCAGGAGGATTTGACACAAGCCAAAAACCTTCAGCCCAGAAGCTGAACTTAGACCCGGAGTGAATGTGGAATCAAGTTAAAGAATTCCAAACCTTTTCAAAATTTACGGGATAAAAGGCTAAGATGTAATCATGATGTGGATTTTTTTATTTTTTGAAAGAAAAACTCTTTTAGGATGATGTGCTTGGTAATGCCTTTAAACCCCTATGTGCCCATGGTTGATTTCCTTGATAGAGCAGGAGAAAGAGGTCTCCTTCATTTCTCCAAAGCCATGTCAATCAAAAACAAACTCATGAACTCACTGCAGACTAGAATATGTTGGATGATTAGATAGCCGTTACTGCCCTCGCCTGGATAAGCAACTTTGACAGTAGTTTATGTTTGGGGAGAACAGCTAGCTGGTAATAGGGTAAGTTAGGGCCATGACAGGGGGTAGTATGCACTACCTCTCCTATCCTGCAGAGGGAGCTGGCTAGTTGTCCTGTATGTGCCTATGAAAGAAAACAAATCCAGAGTTTTTTTTCCTGGGAAGTATTTAGCCTAATTCTGGATTTCCTAATGCCACTGCCCTTGATTTTTGGTGGAATCTGAATTTTCTATGCACCTACTTCTTTTACAGGCACTGAAAAGACAGCTAGAAGTCGTCCTCTGCAGGGGAGGAGGTATAGTTGCAGTTATGGACACAACTGATGCAATAGATACAATTAGCAAATAGTTCTAGGCCAAGGCTGGGTTTATAGTATAATAAAAAATGAGGCTCTCACTTGAGGTTTGATGAGTTGGTGCTGTTGAAGATGCTGCTGGGGTCCAGGTCCCAGTTCTTGAGCGTGCCCTTGACCAGCCCCGAGACGACCACGAAGAAGAGAACCAGCACGTTGATGCAGGTGAACACCTTGTTGACCATGGCCGACTCCTTGACGCCGAAGGCCAGCAAGCCTGGTGAAGGCAGAAGGCACCATTAGGCCTGTTTTTGACCAGCCAAGCCCTCGACGTTCGGCTATCAACCAAACGCTTTTATTAAGCTGGCCTTGACAATCCTACCAACTGTAAGTTAAGAGATTCATTGTTTCGTTGAAGTAGTAGGTGCAACCCATCACACCACCTCTCCGTTTCACCTGGGGAATCGCTGGCGACAAAGGGTCTGTACCATGAAGCGAGATTTGTTGGTTAGCTATATATCTGGTCGGATTTAAGGTACATAGTCGGCGCTAAATGAAAGCGAGCAAAGATAAAGTCCATTTAAACTGGGGTCCCTTAAATCTAAAAAGTTATCGAACTACCCAACAAATCCTGATTCATGATTGCGGGCAAAGGTTGGGCTACTGTTACCTGTTAGTGTGATGATGATGAGAACGGCAAACATGTCAGGGTACTCGGCCAGGATGCCCGGTGCCCGCATGCTCATGTGGGTCCGACAGAAGGCCTCAATGTGCCTCCCGATGAGCTCATCGAACGTGGCGCTCCAGGCTCGTGCCACACTGGACGTCCCTGTTGTTGGGGGGGGTTTCAAATGTACACAAATACTTCATCTAGAACTCAAGTCACCAACCCCCTGCTTTACACCCAAGCAAGGGTGAAAGAACAAACAGTGACATTAAAGAGCTGAAATGGACATCCTACCAAGGAAAATTCCACACAAAGTCCTCTTTGTTTATAAAATATTTCAAATATAAATGAGACTGGGGCCAATTAAATGGGCTCAGTTGTTAGACGGGATACGGTAATCTTCCTGCAAAGCTTACAGTCCCCCTAAACATCACTGATGATTAGAAAACTAGCTCAACTTTAGTTTTGAAAAGAATTTTTTTCATTGTTTCTACATGTTATACAAATGAACATGAAAATAATTGAAAAATGGTCACCCCTATAAAATCACTCATTATCTTTATGAATTTAATACAGAGGACTGTGAGGGCTACATTTTTGAGTGGCTGGTATGAGGAGTCTGTCTCACCGATGATGTAAGAGAGGATGAGGTTCCATCCCGTGATGAAGGCCCAGAGCTCGCCCACAGTCACGTAGCTGTACAGGTACGCCGAACCTGTTTTGGGGACCCGAGCGCCGAACTCGGCGTAGCAGAGGCCGGCGAGCACAGACGCCAGCGCGGCGATCAGGAAGGACAGGACGATGGCGGGCCCCGCGTTCTCCCGGGCCACAGCCCCCGCCAGCACGTACACGCCGGCACCCAGCGTGCTGCCCACTCCCAGTGCCACCAGGTCAAAGGTGTTGAGGCAGCGCGAGAGCCGCGAGTCCTCGCCGCCGTTTACCGCCTTCACCCGCAGCAGCTGCTTCCCGAGCCTCTTCAGCTTCTCCATGGTGCGGCCCTTGGTCGGGTCAGAGGTCACAAAGTAGGAGCAACCTGGGTATGTAAAAAAAGGGGCAGAATGTGTCAAAAATGCCAGTGACTTAAGGCTTCAAAACATGGATGTTACCAGTGTAAGAAAAGCTGCAGCTACAGGGGTGGGGCCACAGGGGCACTGGCCCCAGCTGAATGCTGATTGGCCCCACAGAGTGACCCATCTTCTGTCACTCACCAATTCAACACATATCATTGGCTAATGGTAAGGCCGACCCCTCTGTATTAATTATGGCCCCTCTTATCCTAGAATCGCCCCAGATCATTTTTTCTTTTTTTTAAGTTAAGGTCGCTGACGGAAAGGGGACACAGCACTTGTACAAACAGCTGATAAGGCAGTTCCACGGAAGAGGCTATTAAGCAATGATACTGAGCAGCTGATTTTATGTACCAAGCAGTCGACCAACAGGACCAAAAATGGCCACAATTTTCCAGTGGTTGGACAAGGGCTATATTGTACAACACAAAGTTCCCAAATCTCGTGTTATTGTTTTCCTCCCTGCGGGAAATCTACGAAACATAACCGTTTTCATAAAGCTGGGAGGAAAATTGAGGATAATCCAAATTTAAGACCAGCTACAGTAAAAGCTGTCTTAATCGACATTCATGTAACTGACACAATTCTAAAATACCAGTATAAACATTTTAAAATGATGTTAAATAATAACAGTATTCGATTAAGAAGTACACTAACTAAAAATAACGAAGAACACCATAGCGAAACGGACATGTCAGTCCCTGCGCACGCATACGGAGCGGCACACGCTAGTAGCCTTTCCCATCATTGTTTACCTCATGATTTCTTGTGTCGTACCGAATATCTGACTTCATCCATCATTAACCCCATCGTTTTAGTATGTGTATGCTTAAAACTATTAAAGAAAGTATAAAAATGTGTTACAATTCAATGATCTTCAATAGTCATTCGACTCTCCCGAAAATTCAGCTTTCCAGTAGCTCCTCAGTCCCGACGTCGCTGGGTACAAGAATTTTTACTGTATCTGGAACAGTGAATGTCGTTCTGTTGTGAGGCAGAAGGTTAGCAGCTGAGTCTTCAGAAGTCCAAGATGTCTCAACCACGACACCCGAAAGGAAGAGCATCCGAGCAAACGTGCCCCACATACAGTACTGGTACTGTATACAATAAAGAAGTTCTCACGCCCCCATTCCCTGATATTCCTGTGTGATACATTGAGTGGAAACCAAGAGGGGACGTTTCCTTGTGTCCTGTACACACATAACCACGTGCAACAAAAACACAACTGTTTTAACAATCAACAATTGGCAGCCCAAAAAAGGCTTGATATTTTGGCCCACACAACTACAGCCTCAGTATATGTGCATCCACTTTACCTTTAAGTCACATTCAAACTACGCGACACTTGAACCAAGAAGTTTTAAGTTGCCATCCAAACAAGATTCAAGAAGGATCATTTCTTAAACAATGGGCTTCATTAAAACAAGATTACCAATCAGCAGGAATTAAACTAAGAACGATAATACTACAATGAAATCCCAGGCAGGTCTCATGAACACGAATGAGCTGTCGATAAGCAGGTCAATCTCAGAGCGATCCAAAACCCCTGGCATATCATTTTGTTACAATTCTGCCAACTCGCCATTTCTACTGATGTTGACGCTACGAGCTTCACTTAAAAATAAATAAACATGGGCCAGCGGGCATGAAGAGGTGCAGCTTGCATCAGGTAAGACGTACAACAGCCATCCTCAATACATAAAAGCCCAGGCAGTTGACTTTTGTGAAAGAAAGCTTCATGCAACAGTGTGTATGAGGTCTTATTACTGATAAGACTACTACAAAACGCCATGGCGGCAAATTGACACTCACTTGCAGATAAAAAAGGAAGAGAAATTAAAGAAACGTACAGCTAAATTCACACAACCCGCACAATTATGCTGTATACTCACAGGGACAGTACCAGTGTGGCTTCACACATGCAGAGGCAAAGAGCAAGTGAGACAAGGACGGGCCTATCACTGCACTCAATTCTTCAGACACCCCTGCGAAAACGCCCACTTAGAACGCCGGCCCACAAATAGAATGTTAGCACATCACATGGTCACGCTATTCCGAGTGCCCATGACCGCCATCCTATGCTTAAACCTATGGCAGTCATTCTCTCCTTGACCACCAATGCACCCCCACACCAACCCCGTAGGGCACTCAGCCCAGGCAGCTGAGACAAGGGTAGATGTTTCCAACACACATGACAGAGTCACCCCTGGAATTAGGACATCCTTAATGAGTCAAAACTCAAGACATCAATTTTGACCCGCTTTTTAACTCGAGTGCTACTGATGATGTGTTAAACCTAGTTAGAAGCCCTCTAATCCATAACATACTTTGGCTGGATTTCATCCTTTATTTTGGGTACAACATCCGACTTCTCCACCATTATCTAAGCTATTAAACAAAAACACTGCGCCCCTAACCCCTATCCCAAGCCCACACCATCATGCTCCAAGACAAACCTGCTCTAACTGGTCAGTTGCCTGTGATTGCCAGATCTTTCAGTGAGAGTATGTTTGCTTTCCGGTAAGCCCATCCCAAGACACCCATGCAAATGCAACACGTGCAGTGATTCCCAACAACGCTGCTGTACTGTGCTTTGTAATTCGTTTGATCCAGATATGTTTTGTCTAGCTACGAAAGGTGCATATCCTTGTATTAGGCAAAGACATGTTCCTGAAACACACCCCCCCCCCCCCCGTCTCCTGTCCCCCACACAGTCCCTTGCTGCAAAATGCAGGGGAAAAGAAAGTAATTAAATATAAACTTATTTTCCTCACTATGACAAAAATTGGGGTTGTGTGAGGTAGCATGCACCATGTAGGTCTGGCCTGGCACATTCCTCTCTAGTCCTGTCTGGTTAGGACCAGAGTGGTCTGGGTGCTAGGGCACGTGGGCAGAGGTGGCCAAGGGCTCACTCCCCTGCTGGCACTCATGCAATTGCTAAATTAAGCAGGTGGGCAGAGCAGGGGTGAGGCCCAGCTCTCCACCAATGGCAACACAGGACACGCAGAAGGTGTGGCCAGAATGTAACGGTCATGTAAGCCGCGATTGTTGTAATCCAAGTTTGTTTGTTTTCTTGGTGAAAATTTAAAAAAAAAAAAAAGCTAAAAGCAACACACTATTCAAACAGCAGCTACTAGTCACATTTTTCTGCAAACAGACCTTGCTGGTGCAATTTATCTTCACCCTACGGCTCTAAGCAATGCTTTTCAAGGACTCGGCTATGGAAATCAAGAGGCTAAACAAAAGCTTGCCAAGATGCCTCTGCTGTTCTAGATGGCGACAGCACCTACAGAAGGAATCGGAGGAATTCAGAATGTCTTAAAAAGTCAAGGGTCCTCATAGCAGCCATAAAAAAGAACAGGGACACACCCTATGCAATATTTCTCAAGAAACAGCCCACAGATGGGAAGGCACTGCTCCTAAGCAATCCTGGGTCATGCTGAGAACATGAAGCCTCATTCCTGGATAGACTCACGTGGCAGATTTGCATTTCTGGGGCTGCGGAGGATCCTCTGTCGAGTGGCGAGAGTCCTCTACCTCACCAGAGAGTCAGAAAGACAAGCAGACTTTTATTTTGGCACACTCCAGCAAATGTGCTAAACATGGAACTTGTAAACACAAGACTGGCCCTTCTCCAATTCCCAGATGTGGTCCTGCTGTAATACCCTTACTACATTATCTGCTTCCACCCAGTAAAAATCAGCTAGTCAGACACAGCTTGTGATCTGGATAAAATGGTTCGAAATGCAAGGCTGCGGCGTGGGTCGAGGCGGCAACAGCATGCACCGTCTCGAATATTAGCGCAGAGCAATGCCCCTGAGAATGAGAGCGAAAGGGAGTTAGGGGGCTGCTGTTTTCAGATGGACACACACGGGACACCATTGCATCAGCTTGTCCTTCCAATATGGCGCCTGCAAACAACACACTGATAGAAGAAGCTGAGTGGGTTGGCGGGTCTAAAGGCCAGATGGGGGAAAAAGGGGGTCATGGTTCTGGGCATGTTGACTGAACTGATGCCAGCAGGGTCAGTACACAAGGGCACGGAGTCACATGGGTGCGAGCATGCAAGCGGGCGGGCGACAGACGCCGGAGAGTCGAGAACAGAATGTAGACGGCAACACCCCGAGTAGCTCTGGAGGGGATAATAGCTCAACATTTATCTTCCTCAACATCCACAGACATGGGGCACCAATGCCTTTCATATGTTTCCATCTTCCTTATGTACCCAGTGTGTATAGGGTAGTCAATAGACTCATTCTCATTTGTAGCAAATGTATGGTGTTGTCTTTTCCTTTTCATAGCACTTTTACATTGTAGTTGACTTCGGTTTCTTTCTTTTCTCAATTCTCTATATTTTTTTGGATTTGGGTGCATGGGCATAAATTATGGGGGGAATAGGGGGGGTTGTAACCCTCCCAGTAATCACCCCCCGCCCCCAAGTGCTCAACCCAAAGTTATGCCCTTATTTTGCTGGATGTATATTGCGTGATCTGCATGAAATATCAATAAGCAGACTGTTTCAAAATAAAACAAACATAAAAAAACGGCTCCAGTCCATACGCTAAAAGTTGTTAGAGTTGTGGAAACTTGTGAATCGCTAACCTGATTCCAGCAGAAACATTTGAATGAAAGCGCTGCCTGTTCCATCTATCAGCAGCTACAAAAGAGTATATATATATCAGACGAGATGGAAAAATAAGACGCCACGAGCAGCTCATGAAATCAGCATGCCGACGAGTACAATCATCCGACTGGATTCCCCTCCCTGAATGCACAAGACGTACGTTTGGCCGCTGTGCAGCTGCATTTATCTGGCTGGAACAGCTGCCTCTTGTGCATGTGCTGTTCCCAAATACCGAGGAACGCGGGAAAATACCCCCCAGATAATTGTCACTGGCAAACAGCCAATGCGGGCAACATATAAAGATATGCATTTGCGGCACACGTTTAAATATATGTAAAGCATAGCAGTAATAACCGAGAGTGCATTCCATGTAGGTGGAACAGGACTGTTTACATAGATTATCGCACAGAACGTTAAAATATTATATATAGATCTAACTTTTTAGTTGCTTCGCCATCCACCTTAGTTTATTGCACAATATCGTTAGGCACTGCCTGAAAATGTCATGAATTGCACTAGTCTTGTTAGGAAATGCAAGGAAGGAGATGCCAGTTCATCAGCTGATCGCGACTGACATCCCTGCAAATGCGAACACGTTTTTACACAAGTTCACACAAAACACGGCAACGAAACTGCAAAATTTGCCTATAGGACCCAACCCTCCATCTGGACATAGATTTAAGTTTGATGTGAATTCTGCCTTTCAAACAGCCAGAAATACAAAGATGTAATTTTGGCGCTTTTATTTACTTTGAATAGAACATTCCGTATACTGGTAAGTGGTGCCATGCTGCAACAATATCCATGGCCGTATTTCGAAGTAAAAAAAAACTTTCATACCTTTGCAATTGGAATGACAAGAGGAACTGTCACTCTAACTACTCGTGTGTTAAAATCCTGCAGTAACGTTTAGATCAGTTTCTCGTTGCTACTAGCGAAAATTCGCGTCTCTGACAATGTACAGAAAATGTGACAATTTATCAAACTGGAGCAACTCTATTAGTCTCCTGTTGATTTTACATATTTCCGTTATCAACCAACCAGACATAAACAAATCAATAATAATAAATCCTATAATAATAATAATATATATATTTTAAAAGATAACTAATTCGATTACATATTCGTCTGAAATACATCTTAACAACTACTAGCATGTCATATGAGAAACTGTGTTAAGGAAGTGAAATCATAACAGCTGAAAAATTACTTTGCAGTAAGGGCTGTTTCACTGTAGAACAGGGCAATAAAAGCGCTACGGACGGTGTTCTGTCGAGTTAGGCTACCGTAGTGCTAATCCATAGCCCTAACCCCCACCCCCAAAAACCCTTACCCTAACCCCTAAAACCTAACCCCCAGACGGTGGAACGGCACACGCGCAAAAAGGCTCGATAGTACTTCTCGATAGGTAGCTCAACTCTTCAGAACAACGGCGCACCTACCTGCGGCTTATCAGAGAAAGACATGCGACGGGGATCCGCCGTCCTGTAACCGGCTCTCACACACATGCACAAGATCCGGTTAAACTCGAGGCTACTTTTCCCCCTAGACCACCTATGATCACGTTTCAAACACATTCATGTATTGCACATGGCTCGCTCATGGACAAGTATGCGAGCACGGCAGTATCCATGTGTTACTAAATATACTGCAGGGTGGCGCTTAATTCATTTCAAAAGTTTTACCCGTTAACATAGTTCCATGTAAATGTGCATGATCACTCGCTTTTATCATTCGCATTCTTCACTAATAACAGTACGAAACTCGTAAAAGAACACTAACATGCGTGTGCATGTATTCTTTCGAAGACTTTTTTATGCTTACTACCGTTGCACAGCGCAGAATCTAAGCGGGTATCTACTTATAAGGGGCGGTTTTTAATCGCTCCCAATGAAGCCTCGGCCAGCTCAGGACAGTCATTTCGATCCGAAGTGTTACGGCACCGAACCAACCGACCAGAAGGCGGCATCCCCAGCTTGTCAGGCTCAGTGGGTTCGGTTCAAGACCAGCTCACTAACAGTGAAAAGCAACACATTTTACATGGATGACAATGAATCACATTAAAAATGAAGCAGGCGAGAACTTTGTGCGGGAAATGGGGGGAAAAAAAAAAAACAGAGAAAAAAAAAAAAAAAAAAAAAAAACTTTATAAGCCTATATAAGCCTTACCTTCGGCAATGTGGACGCATAAAATGTAGGTAGCGCTTCGTGTGTCTGCGGAGGTCAGTGAAACCCCCAGTCCGCCCTCGGTCCCCTTTGCGTACGCCGCCTGCGTATCGAGCTCGCGCCCCTGACAGGTGGCCAGGGCGACGGCGGAGTGTCGTGTTGCAGGAGGCGGCTTGAGTGACGCGGACTCCTCCCGACATGCAGGGGGGCTGCACTCTTACGCAAAAACCGCACTGCTCTGACGGTGGACTCCAGTTTAGAGAACTTATTCCGACAATTTCTTTAAAATAAAGACTAATTTTAAAACCCTCAAAATTAAATGAGGAAGAATTAAGATTCGACGGCATACACTGGATTCCCATAAAAAACCAAGAGCAAATTAAGTTATTTTGGATATTATGAGGCAAAATGCGCTACACATTGTAAAGTTCCTACTGGCCGCAGCGCTGATAAACGATAAACAAACAGCCCGGGAGAGATTAAAGATCGTTCAAAAGATTAACACCAAATATCACTATATAATGGGCATTTTCATTTATCTTTTCAACGAGCTAACACTCTGCGTATAAAATAAAAACGGCTGCAATACCGATACGGTAATCTTCATGACAGTTAAAAGGGAACGGTTGTCTGATAATCCAGTGATCTGTTGCTCATCCATCATTGTAATAAAAGTTGATGTTATGAAATACACCAAATAGCACACAGACGGCTACAATTTAATTTGTACATTTATAAGCATATTGCCCCAATTATTAGTATGATGCGTATTGTCTTAAAGGCTATTAAATCAGCAATTGACTAAGGTAAAGGAGCATGAATTTATCCATCAAAAATTTGCCCAACTGGCACCTTCTGAAAGGAACTCCTATTAAAAAAAATCCACAAACATAGAGGACCTCAAGTCACCAGTTTAAATTTAGCTGAAATTACAGAACATATTTTTCTGTCTAATTCCAGGGTGCACTATCGGCAATGTGATCAGACTGTACCCAAACCTAGAATGGTGAATGGCTTCAAATTGCTGTCTACAGCTCACACTTACAGATTACATCATTAAAAAAATAAATAAAAATGCAGAGATGGGGTGGTGGGAGAATCCTTGACCAGTTAAATCTTCAGTTGCCATTTTTTTTTATTAAATAGGCCTTTAAAACATATAGATGCAAATCAGTAAAATATAAAGTCCCTCTCCCAAGCCAACTCAGTGAGACACCCACCCCACCCCAGATGCAAAACTTGGCCATGAACATAAACCCTGATAACTGCTTGAGGAGACTTTTTGGGTGTAGTTTGCATTTTGGCATGAGAGGACCAGGGGCAGACAAGTGCTATTTGAGAGACACCATATTCGGGCAAATCACAGGAAAAATGTTACAGGTGATAATCACGAGCATCACGCTGCAGGCTGGCTGGCTATGAGCTACCAAGGTTCTTGTCCAACCCAGGAGAGCAACACCCAAAAAAAGTCTCTAACAGAGACAGAAAGGAATATCCCTTCCCATCTGCCAATCGACACAGGTCCACGACTCGTCTCCATCAGGATGAGGACTCTGCCTTCACAGTCTGAAATTGTGCAGGCTACCCTGTAGTCATATCTTTGCATTTAGCAGGGCTCCAGGGTATAGCTCTTTTCAAACATGTACAATATTCACAATATCTATACAAGTCCCCACCGCTGGCCTCTTATTTGCTTTCCAGGAGGGTCTTAATGTCTTTGATGCCATGCTCCGTCGCCACGGCAACAACGTGGTCCAGGGCATTGATGCGTCCAAGCAGTTTCACCACCTCCTTAATCTGCTCCCTGTTGAACAGAAAGACCCAAGATGATGCCCTCCACTATGTATGGATGGAGAAAACAGGAATGGCACAGATGAATAAAACTACTTGATATACCAAAATAACCACAGCAGGTATAAGAAACTCCCAAGTGTCAGTACTTCTGCTTTACTGCACTTACGAACGAAGTAAATCTGAAGAGCTTAAGTGAAATATGTTTATCCTTCATGTAAAGAGCAGAAATATTAAAAGGGCTTGCCTCGCATTTCGCCTCTCCATGTCAGATCCGGCCAGGCTGATCCTGTAGACTGTGCTGGCCACGTGCTTCAGGTACCTGCAGAAGTTCTCCAACTGGGGGATGGTCTGCTGGCCCTTCAGACTGCTGAACCACTGCTGAGGGAAGCACTCCACCACCTGGGGACAGCAGGACCATGCACACTAATTACAAAACAGATATTTACAAAAGCAGTAATGACTAGCTAGCTGCCTGAGACAGGGAGGTAAAGAGCTGAAGATCTACTCATTGTGTAACTTGTTCAGATTTGCAGTTTCCAAGACCATTCTAAGTCCTTTAGCTGGAAAACCCTCAGTACAAAAAAAAAAGTCAGGATCCTAATACCATGTACATCAAAATAAACCCGCAGACCCTTCACCTGCAGGAGCGGCCATTAATTTAAGAAATGACATTCAAGGGCCGACTGGGACAAGCCAGCCATTTAATGGAAACAGTCGGTGAAATCTGGCTCACACTCCGGCTCTTGTCGATGCTCTCCTCTCCGGGGTCTGTGGACTGCAGGGCGGAGAGGATGTAGCGGTTCAGTGTGCTGTCCACTGCCAGCTCCCTCAGAGTGCAGTTGGACAGGATTCCGTACCATTGCAGAATGTTCTCCAGCAACTACAAGCACAGAGGG